TGGCTGGACACTTTCCGTTCGGCGGTTCCCTGCCAGTCCTCTGGCCCTCTGTGTCCTCTCTCCCGCGCTTTCTGATCTGATTTTTATCTTCACCAGGTGATACCTTTTTGTTGCATCACATGGCCCCAGCTGGAGATGGGTGCAGCTGATAAACCGCTTGGGTGGTTTACCGTGGCATGCCTCCTTGCTCCCCCAGACCCCTACAGCAGGTATGTTTTTTTTTTCTTTTTCTTTGGCCTGGGGTCTGCCTCTGATTGAGGCTTCCCCCTTACCTGCCCCTGTGTCCCTGTGACACCAAGATTTTTTTTTCAGTTTCATAAAATGTTATGCATGTTTTCCAAATTAATTTTCAATTCTTTTTCATTCACCAAAATCTCAATTTTTCAACTCTTTCTGCTAAAGAAGCTAAAGCAAAAAAGGACTTTTGAAGTAGCCTTCCTTACTTAACAACTTTATGAGGAAGCATTCCCCAAAGATACCCAGAGATAAATGATTAAAAGTGTAAAATAAAATCTGCAGCAAATCATATTACTTATATATAATAATTGCTATCATGACTAATTAAATATCAAATACAGTAGGAGTTCATGAAATAATTACAATGGTAAAGTTAAAGGTAGGAATCCAGGTTCACAAAATAATTTGTGAATAAATTGTAATTTGTTTTTCAGTTGTTTAGTATAAATATGATAACTTGATTTTAATTTGGTCCACTTCAGTTAAAAAGGATTGAAGCTGGTAGTATATCAGAGCATAACAGGGGAAAGTCCATGGAGGGGAGACTACATTTTCCTCTGATAGTCACTTCCTTCTGGTTACAGTGTGGCAGTTGGAGATCTTAATATGATGCAATTGCTTTGGAGAGATGGTTTAACATATCACCCTCCAAAATGACCCCAGGCTACAAACAGTCCCTTTTGCTGTTGGATTTAATTAACTAGTTTTGGAATCCAAAAGCAGATTTAGAACTAACCTGATTTGTTTTTCCAGAAAAAATCTGCAGCAATTGGTGGGTCACATAGCATGACGGCTTGTTCAGTTGTAAACAAAATAAGTCATCTTTAGAATAAATGGTGAAAAACATTGACTCCATTTTACTTTTCCTTTATGACAATACATTAATTACTAATGTGACTAAATATATTAATTCATAACCATGGAGAAATATCCATAACTTTTTTTTTTTCTGAAGAGACATTAACTAACAGGATTTGAGCCGTGGGCAAAACCTGAAGGAGAGTGGGTGTGGGGATGAGTCCTGGAGTGGGGAGGATGCCAAGGGCATGGAGGGGCTCTTAACTCCTCTAGGGACCCCAAAAAGTCTCTGGCTGTTGCTGTCATGGCTCAGTCTGCCCACCCCAGTTATAACTGCTACAGATGTAGTGGAGTAGCCATACATCCAGAGACTGCCATTCTGATACTGCCTCACTAAGATAGCACCCAAGGCTGGTCCCTCCCTCATCTACTCTCAAGTTACATTACATTACTTTGCAATAACTCAACTGAATTTACTAACCAGAAATCATGGAAAACTCATCAAGTCTAACATAGTTACAAGGGAATTCATTTTTTAAACAACATAATAATAATTAAATAATTAGTAAACATGCTTTTTAAAAATAAAGATAAATATTCTCAGCTCAAATAGGTCTTATCTTAAATGAATTAAAAGGATTTAACACTGATTTTGCTCACTGAAAATCTGGTGGAAGATTTTTAAATTGCTTTGTTTTTAAAGGACTTACTAATTACCCTGAGAGAGAGAGAGAGAGAGAGAGCTCAAGTGCACACACATGTGCATACTTTCACTACATGCTGTTCTTTGGGTAGAAGACGTGGGTATGTTATACCAGCAGGTAAAGTTCTGTATAATATCTTTAGAGAAGCTTATATCAGTATCTCCTGAAGGCATTTAATCAATTTCTAAACTGAGAATTGAAGTAATTGTTACCGATCAAGGAAACATACCAATATGGAACATGGAAGGTAAAGATAGCTATACACACTGAAAAATGATTCTGAGTTGTTGAAGTCAATTACTATAACTAAAATAGTATTTTAATTTCCTGTCTTATTTCACATAATTCTTACTTTCTTTTCACTGCTTTCTAGTACCATAATCTCATTATTTTGATTTAGTTTTAGACACTCAATCTACTCTCATTTTCTCTGCCACTGACTGAACTGGAGGGAAACAGCTGTTAATTTATATATAGGCGTCAGTTCAGAAGCATTAATACAAATGCATAGTCTATCAATATAAGTGTAGAAATCAATTATAGGTCTGATTCAGTTCCCATTCACGTCAACTAGAACCTTCCCTTTGACTTGCAGAGGAGTCAGATCAAGCTTTTGCAATAAAGTTCCCCCCCAGAATAAGTACTACTTATTATTCAATGAATAGATCTCATCATATTGGCTCAAGTGATTCAGAACCATTCTTGGAAGTTGACAGTGAAGAAAGCCAAGGTGATTAATCCACATATTGAGAGTATACTACTGTACTTGTAGATTTGTAGCCCATTATGAACTCTAATGAAAATTGAAAGAACAGGTAAAAGAAAAATGGGAAATTATTGGAACTACATGTGAAAAAGGCTGATGGTAACATACATTTGCATCTTAGAAACTAAGTCAGTGACGTTTAGCATAAGCTTTTGTAAGCCAATAGCTTACTTCAGCAACTGCTGAGCACACTCTGCAGGAAGTAGCATTTCAAAATCTCTGATTTAGTTAGCTCATAAGGTGCAAATCTACCCTGCCTTCTGCCTGATTTCACACTGAGGGCCATGTTGCATGTTACATTGGGCACATCTACACAAGACGCTACTGTGCAGTAGCTCATTGCTACTGCACAGTAGCATCTGAAAAAAAATTGTGCAGGGATGATACTGCACAGTAACAACTGTTACACAGCAACGTCATATGTGTTAAATGTACTTAAAACATGAGAGTCTGTGTTCAAGCAGTAAAACATATCACCTTTCAGGTGAGGAGTATCTCCAGATCATTTTAAGTAACACATGTTGAGATATCATCAGCCTGCAGCACGGAGATAATACAAGCAATCTGCAACCGTCCAGCATCCCATGATGTACTGCTGTCAGCCAGCTATTGCCAAGAAATCCCCCTTACGTTGTGATCTCCAAGCCCAGTCATGTACCATCTTCAAATTTCCACGAAAATCTGCAGGATGTTATGGGAACACATGATAAGAAAGGCAGGAGTGGAGTAAAACTGTGGGGAAGAGACAGGGAAGGAGCTCCAACACAGACCATGCTTGAGGAACAGCCAGTGCTCAGCCCAGATTGCCTATCAGTGTGGAGGAAGCAGCAGAAGTAGTAGTAGCGTTTGACCCAAAAAGAGAAATGTGGTGGAGATGAACAAACAAAGGGGACGTGGGCAGGTTTTGAATTACAGGGAAGCTTGGGAGGCTGAGCCTTCCCATAAGAGATGAGAGCCCCCCTGTAAGATTTGAAAATCATAACCTAGGGGGGCTCCAATTTTATTAGGGCATTGTGATGGGGAGCCCAATTTTTTCTGCAGATCCCCCCCTCCCAAGAGTCAAAGTGTAATTCAAACCCTGGATGTGGGGTGGAATCTGCAGGGTCTTCTTATCCTCCTGCTCACATCTCTTCCTTCCTCTGAGGCAATTTGTCAAAACTCCTTCCTTTTCTGCCAGCAACACCACCAGCAGCAGCACAGCTGGCATCTCCTCTGTGCTGCTTGCCAGCCCTCTAGCAGCAGAATGCATGCAGTGCACCTAGGGTCGGTAATAAACATTGCTGTGCAGTTGCGCTTCTAACTTTTAAAAATATACACAGATTTAACATGTAGTAAGAATCCTATGCAAAAAGGACCTAAATACAGCTCACTATCACTGTCTCCTAATGAATTAGAGCCCATGCCTTTAGGGAAGAATAGACTTCAGTGTGCAGTATTTAGAATTAGTGATAGGAGTTATCAGGAAAAATGACTGTATATTTAAAATAGCAGAACATTTACTAAAAGGATAGACCAAATAAATGAGACAGGATTGCTTTAATGGTGAAGGATGAAACTCATTTCTGCAATAAAGTGAATTTAATTTGATAAATACTTCTCTTACTATTGCTCACATGTGAGAATGTGACCAGTGGGACCATTCATTTAGCTACAAATGTATATGAGGCCAGAGTAACAGAGTATGAATTTGACTTAACAATACTGAACCTTTTGTTCAGTTTCCTGAAATAGGACTTATTTGATATTGTGGGGGCTACATTTAACTAAGATATTTCAAACTATTTGTTTTCAAGTGGTTATTAGAGCTTTAGGTACAGAAAGGCAAGTGCCCAGTTCAATAAACCTGATCTCTTGAAACCCATTCTGAAATATGGGTAAAAATTAGAGGGTAACATTCCTCCACAAAATCAGAACATATTTACATAAGGAAAAATTAAATATTAAGGCAGGTGTCAATTGAAATTCATTCAAATCAAATCAAAACAAACAAAAGGCTTAAAAGAGAAAAGTTAGGATGTGAAAGGGATTATTACAGAATCTGACAGGAACAGCATTTTTATAAAGCAATTGGAATGTAATGGCACCTTTACACATGCAGGGAGGCTGCTTTTAAATGAAATAAAAAGGGTAAAAGTATATCTGCTGACATGCAGGGCCAGAAAGTGGCCCAGAATGTAGTTACCCTATCTGGGAAGCTGGGATATGTTTAGAAGGATCCTTGTTTAGCACAGTCCTGGTTTTGTTGGTGTTACTCAATTTTCCATACCAGGCTCGTACAAGAAACGTACTAGGGATATGGCTCCTTAGCAATTCAAGTTTGCATTAGAGGTTCAGGGACACGCATATTGGTTCAAATATCAGTAGGCAGAATGCAAAATGTTTAACATTTATCCAGAAGTAGTAAATGCTTGAACACAAGGGTGATTTGAAATTTATCACTTAATAAATTTGTCACACCCAGTTGGCAACATTTAGGTATCCACATTTAGGGTATTGATGCTGGTACCCAAAATTTCACCAGAGTCCTTGATGAAATATAGCCAAATGCCTGTTCTTGGTTTGTTCTTCATTCAGTTCATCAGAGAAGGCAAGCTTCTAAAGATCTTCACTGTGGTCTAATGTTGCCCTGATAAACACAGACAAACAACCACACAATGCAATTGGTATCACTGTTAATTGTAGGCTTTAAAGCAGGGTGACTCAATCGTGATTAAATTGTGGTCTCAGGGCTTGTCAGGACAGCTGCCAGACCACTGTGTTGGTGTGACTTCAGAACCCAAGGGGTTGAACAGTGCCATTGCTCCATAAGAGTAGGGACCCCTTGCCTACTGCTGAATTTGAAGTCTTTGCTTGCTATTGGTGACTCAAATAATTGGCAGGGGAGAACAGTGGCTGTGCTCATGTTCTGAGTTCTGGAACCTCCCCAACAAGCCACCACCCCATGGGCAGTGATAAGTTGTCCGGCCCAGATCAACTGGATTAAAATGAGTTACACTGTTCTGCTTTAAAATACTGAAGTATCTCATGGTCCAGTGCATTCCTCCAGTGGTGAAGACCATTCCAAAAGTTAAGTAAACAGGTCTGCAGCAGCACATACTGAGGTGTCCTCCATGCTGCAATGGTATGTTGCCTGTGCATGTGCTGCTCCGTTTTTTTGTTTGTTTGTTTGTTTTTGTTTGTTTGTTTTTTCCTGAGGGCTTTTTTGAGCCCTGAATGTACTGAAAAGCAGAGCTGGGCGACCCAGAGCCCCACTGCAGCTGGAAGCCAGGCTCTGCCAGGCAGGATTTCCATGGTTGCAATCCCGGGAAACCCCTAGGATCCCAGGTTAGGCTGCTGGGGTCAGCGCAGTGCTGGTCCCAGCCTCCCCTACCACTCCTGGAGTAACTTGTCATGTGCCAAAGTGCACATGGCAGGGGTGTTCTTGAGGGAAAAGTAGCTGTGGCAGAAGATGCGCTGCTCTACTTGTCCCCGGGGAACCAAATGTCCAGGCTGATCTGGACACGGCTCATGTTATTCAATCTATGCATTGAACATCTCCTACCCACCTACTCATGACAGTTAAATCTATGTAGATTATATTTACCTGTGGCTTCTTCAACTGACTTCAGTCAAAACAATGACAAGTACGCAGGGAGTTGTTAGACCTCTTCAAATTGTTACCTCTGCTTGTTCTGGAAGGTACTTAGGGAAGGGTGGGTGTGACCGTCTGCTTTCGAGTATCCATTCACACGCTGCTTTGGCACATGTGCCTGGTATCAGGCCTGGTGTGTATTCATGTGACCTCTGGAGGGGTCCTCAATCTCCCCGGGGAAAACCCCAAAACTTGCCTGCCATGACTTTGAATGGATCCTCAGTGGTGGGGTCTCCTGTGGTGACTCCTCAGAGTCGGTCACACTTCTTGATGGATATCCATGGGGCTCCACCTCCCCTAAACCCCTTCCATATGGCAGCATCTGAGACAGGTCACTTGATCTTAGTGTGGCTGTTCTCCAGTCTCATCGGTCCCGGGTCTTCGTGCCCCTGGGATTCCAATTTTGGTCTTCTCATTGCTGGGCTCCAGGGATGGTTGGGTGCCCTGCTCTCCTGGGTGTTATGTTGGCAGCTTGCTAGTTGCTCAATGGGCCCTAAGGTAGCTCCGGTCTTTGGAGCATCACCCGTGCCCTGTCACAAAAAGAAGGTGATGATTCACAAAAAAAGAAAAGGCCACACAATGGCCAAAATGGTGCAGGCACTTTAAAAAGAAAAAAAAAAAACCAACAAAACAAACAAACACCAAAATTAAAAAAGACTGGAAAGGGATGGGAAGCCAGGCTAACTAGCCCTTCCACTCTCACAGCCCAAGTGCCTGCTATTTAGCACATTACCCGATGCCACTCCAAGTCCCTGCCCTCACTGAGGTCCTCCTCTGCTCCTCCTGGAGCCAGATTTTCACTCACCTACCAGTGCTGCCTGAGATTGGTATGGAGGGCTCCCACAGCCTCAGCTGTCTTCCCCCGCTCTCCCCTCTCTGTGCCAGTGCTGGCTTTTATTCCGGCTGAGCAGCGTTCATCAGTGACATTATCTGCTCGCACCGGTTCCAGCCGGAGATAAGCGTGGCTGACGAACTGCACAGCTGCTTCTTCCTGGTGTGGCTCACCCCTGCCCAGCGGCCTAAAAAATGTAAGTGACCCCTGTTTTGGGGGCTTTTCTTGTGGGGGTGGGTTACCCCTGTCCTTAGTTCGACCACAGGGAGCATTTTCTGCTCCCCGGTGTCTGTCCCCCTAGGGCAGTGGGTTAGCTAAGGAAGTCTGTAGTAGCACTTCAGCAAATTGTTTATGACTTACTTTCAATAAATGTTTGGAGTCTGTCTCTCTGGCTTGTTGTTAAGGCTACCAAGCAACACAACAATAAAGTTCCACTTACACAGTGCATCCGCTGCCTAGGAACTAATTGCAAATCTAAGCAGGAAGTGCTTCAAGCAGGCCCTACAGCCAGAAAACTGCAACAGACTGAAGGACTAACAATGACCTATCTTTGAATTCCAAAAATAGTCATAAAAGCAAACTATTACTACTACTACTATACAGCCAAACATAAACAATTGCCAAAGTTAAAACACACTATAAGCTTGGTCAGTAAGTTAACTGGCTTAACGTGAGGTATTTATGCTCAGCTGTTCCAAATGTGTTCACCTGCTATGTGCTACTTGTATTTAAAATATTGTGTACCATTCTTCTCCTACCAAAATCACTGATCTATAGTAGCATTTACTATTTATATTATATCTTGAATACTGTGTCATACCTCATTTCCATGTTTACTGTGGTTAAGTAACATAGTACCATTCCTGATGTTGCAAAGATTCATCTCTCAAAATATTTAGAAATGAAGTATTCCAATCATGATTTTCCACTGTCTATGGATTAATGAAGTTCGCTGATTCAAATTAGTTTGTATAAAATGCATATTCTCTGGAGGTATACATTACAGTCAAAGAAACAAATTTTCACCAGTAACAACAAATGCAAAATCACCACCTCAACAATCTGCTGTTCTTTGATCTCATCCATCACCAGTCCACGATCCAGTGTCACCTGTCCAGTCACTGTGTAGCTGGTCTACACAGACAGAAAAAACATGACAATCCATACTGCAGCTTTCCATAATATAATTGACAATGCACATTGTTGATTAAGTCCCTCTCAAGATTTGCCACTAGTGTGATGATAATGAAAACCACCAATAAAGGAACTATTGCTGGACTTGGCAAGACAGGCATTCTCTAGACAGACTTTCTAAAATGATTAAATAGTTTAGAGAAATCCTATATTATGTGGTTGGAAAAGTGTTCTGACTTTGATAAGAGAAACGGTGAGGTATAAAATGGAACTCATAATATGGGATTAAGGCTTAAGGAAGGCAGCTATTGCCATATGTCAGCTGATAGTCATTTTACTTCCAAATAAAACTGGCTTGAAAATACATTAAAGGACATATGAAAAATTCTGTTGAGGTGTGCAGTATGAAGTTTATGGATCTTTATTAATGTGCATTTTCCACAAGGGAATTCAGTAACTAGCTGTGAAATATAACTGTGCATCAAAATATTACATTTGCTTGATATAGGAAGCCTCTTTACAGCTATTTATAGAGAACATAATTCTGATAATCTCATTTGCTTTTAACTCTTTACAGTGTATCCTAATGTTTCTTATCCAGGAGAATATACTTTAGACTCAGGGATTTTTAATGAACCTATACTTTTCTTATTCTGGACTAGTGGGAGCTATACTTACTTACAGCTCCATAGGGTTCAAATGTACCTACTGCTTGCTGTGTTCATTAGAATTCAGTAAAACAAAGTACTAAAATGTTATAGCTAGAAGGACTGGGTCACCTTGTTACAGTTAGAACAGTGGAATAGGTACGTTGCATGTAGCATGCAAGGAAAATTCACATGATGTTACTACATATGCTTTCCTACGGAAATAAAGAGATTTCTGCTATAAGCTTAACCATCATTTCACCACATTTCAAGCAGTGAGAGCACAATTATTAACCGTGATTTTCTCAATGGTTTGCACCTGCTACAGGACATAATTCTATCATTTCTTTCTTTTGTATAAGAATAGGAAAACAGTAATGCCTGGAACATCTCAGAGAGGGGAACCATCTAGTTCAATATGCAGGAGCTGATGGGTTACAAAGCAAATGAATTAATTTCATAATAGAGACCATGTTAGTTTATGCAGCAGTAAAATATATATGTTTCTTTTTTAATATCTGCTTTTCTTAGTCTTCTGCCCCAGCTTTACCCAGAGCTAACATCTGGAGGAAGCAGGCCACTCTGCTGGGCCTTGATAGACTTCTGTCTCTCCTGGTCCTTCTAGCCACCAGAGACCTCTGTGGTTTTGCCAGCAACCAGCCCTGGATGGCATCTTTCAGCAGATCACAAAGGTGTACATTTATTGTTTTTCTTTCAAGTGCATGGTATTTGAATGAGGTGAATCAAAGCAGCAGGGTTTACAAGAAAGGACAAATACCTATAACATCCCACCTCAACCCTACTATTACTGCCATATTAACAAGTACATAAATGGCCATCTACACAATGTAGAGATCTCTGAAAGTCTACAAGCCCACCAGCCTAAAAATCATGAGTTACTTGGGACAAATAGGACATTAACATAATTTTTGATGAAATGATTTATAAACAACACTATTGATCTGGACCTCAACAAAATCTGCAGGAAAATTTTTCTTATGCCCAAAAGAAAGTTTGCTAACATCTAAGCTAGTCAATTCAAATGTGAGTGGGGGCAAATAAATAAATAAATTAGGCTTAGAATGGAAAGACCTATTCAGGATGTGCAAAAGGCAAAGTTAAAGCTTCCTAAGGAAAATCTAATTCTAAGCTTCCACCCTCTTCATCAGTTATAAGAGCAGTGTGGCAAGTGCTGAAAAATATCATGTAGTTCTCTAAGTAAATTTCAGCTGGCAGAACCTTCCTCATGAAATTGCTCCACCCAACACATCTTACACCAGCCCTTATGGTTATGTACAGTACAGATCAGAACCTGCCTCAGTCTTTACCATAAATATGGAATTTTTACTGATACCACCAAACTTGTGTGTCACATTTATCCATATGGAAGCAGATTCAATTTTTCCTACCAATGTGAACTGTGATTTCCATATTCTATCAGGTAGAGATAGAATATTTAAACTTAAAATCCACTAAGGAGGTTGTTAGATTTTTCCATTCTACCTTCTTAAACAAGCCTTCATCTTTTGTCAAAACAGTAAGCAAATTTGATGCAAAAATAAACTCTATTTTAACTATGACAATCAGAAGAAAAGCAAACGAACAAGGCAGACTAAAAAAAAACCCATGCTAAAAAGCTTTGGTGTCGTAACTCAAAAGTGATTGCTTCATATATCAATAGCAGCCATTTCACAACTAAAGGGTTTTTTAATACCAAGGGCAGTTATGGCAAGGTTTATGCGTTTTATTACACTGTTAGCTATAATTTGAAAGCATCAAGGACTTATTTATTGAAAAATCTAGTAGTATCTGACAAGTTAGAAGCCAAATTATACTCTGACATGTCATTAGAATGTAACTTTGGTGGTGTTTTACTGCGTGTCTGAAGCAAAGATCTAAAAAAATATTAAAACACATCTGGCCCATTTTCAACAGGCTAAGGATTAATTATGCAAAATCCCATTATAACAGCCATTGGAAAAGTTCTCATCTTTACTGAAACCCAGGTAAAGTATTCAACAAGTAGATGAGATGGTTTATAGCTCACACTGTTCACATCAACATGCCTAGATACACTTTTAGGCCAAATAGAAATACCTTCATTCAAATGTTATCGTTTGGAAATTATAAAGAGGATGGCTTACAAAACCATGAGCTGAATGAATCTATATTTATTCACTTTGCAGCAGCCTATGATGCCATATAACACACCCTTAAAAAGACTGGAAATATTGCCTCTTTGGGTAAGTATCCCAGTTGATACATTGCTTAATGATGGAAGCTTCAGATGGGCACAGGGAAATATAATATTTCAAAAGAATTCACTTTACTCAGTACCACAAACCCACCTTCAGGGTACCTCCAGACCCCTGAGTTTCTCTCTGCTCTCCCTCTGTCTCAAGAAACAGACAGATATTTGTCCTGGGATAACTGATGGGCCATTTCTCTCAGATGCCTTTGCTGTACAGCAGTTGATTTCCCTGTTACAGGCAGGCAATTCCTGGGGTGCCCAATGTAATAACTTCTGCTTGTGTCTGTCAGTGGCGATTCTACTTGCACTAGTGACACAATGGGCATGGAAATGCTGCTGTATGGGTTTACTCCAGAATAATTTACTCTGGAGTAAACCCACTGTGGATAGGTGTCTACATGTGTGTGCATTTGGGAGCAGATTTGCTTGATCTGCCCCACTGCAGTAGCCAGGAGGAGCTTTAAGCTCCCCCCTGGGGACTAGCTCAGTGGTTATCAGGGAGAAGGGGACCAGGAGACAGCTGTCTTCTGCCAGGAGCTGAGAGATTGCTCTCTTCCCCCAGAAGCTGCCTGCTGCCAGGGCAGGTTCTGGTGGTGAAGCCCAGGTGGGAACAATGTCCTCTTGCCCCAGCAGCAGGGAACTCCCATCCCCAGTTCCCCATTTGAAGGCAGGGGGATTGGAAAGAGATGTGGGGAAAGGCCAGTTCCCAACCCTCCTGCCCCACCCAGCCAAGGGTTCACTGCTAGCTGCCCCACTGGTGGATTGGGATAGGGACCTGAGACTTGCCCCTCCCCTGAGCCTCTTTGCAAGCCCTATGCCTTGATCAACAGATTGGGTCATAAGGTTGGGAAAAAAGATGTGGGGCTGGGACCTTGTCCAGAATGGGACAGTTACTGGCCAGCCCTGGGCTTCATGGGGAAGTCTGTATGTGCAGGCTGGAGTTGGTTGGGGACTGTCCAAAATGGAACAGTCTCCGGCCAGCTCCAGGCTGCTCATGTGGGGCACCTGTCCACGTTACAGCTCATCTGTTACCATATTACACTTTTCCTGTATCCACGTAACAAAGTTGCCATTAAGCTAGCTATGTAATGTCTGTGTGTCCATGTTGGCAGCTGGTTTTATTG